AAACTTGTAATAAGACTTTCGTTCAATTCTGTCAAACAAGATTAAATAAAAGGTTCGAGAGATGTTAGTACAAAACTTGTATAATAAGACTTTCGTTCAATTCTGTCAAACAAGATTAAATAAAAGGTTCGAGAGATGTTAGTACAAAACTTGTAATAAGACTTTCGTTCAATTCTGTCAAACAAGATTAAATAAAAGGTTCGAGAGATGTTAGTACAAAACTTGTAATAAGACTTTCGTCCAATTCTGTCAAACAAGATTAAATAAAAGGTTCGAGAGATGTTAGTATAAAACTTGTATAATAAGACTTTCGTTCAATTCTGGTCAAACAAGATTAAATAAAAGGTTCGAGAGATGTTAGTACAAAACTTGTAATAAGACTTTCGTTCGATCCTGTCAACAGCAATTTTCAGAAAAAAAAATAAGTTGAGGTTTGAACCAAAAAAAAAATTAATGCAAATTTGAACAAATTAAGAATGTTTTATTTATAATGTATATACAATTACAAAAAAAAAAAATGGAACTAAGTAAGATTATCCTGAATTTAAAATTAATAACGCGTTTCAGTGAATATAGTTTGAATTATTTTACCGTACATATCTACCTAAACGATCATATTATAAACCCTAACCCTAAGGCCACATTCGTAGTGGATCCGATCCAAAACGATTTAACAGCTGATCGATTTTTAAAATCGGTTTATGAGAATCAATTTTTCTTTATTTAAACCAATATTTCTTAGGTTACTATCATGTATAGAATTAAAGACAAAATTAATATTATTACAAAAAAAAAATTGATCTCATAAACAGATTTTAAAAATCGATCAGCTGTTAAATGTCGGGTCGGATCCACTATGAATGCGGCCTAAAACGTATTATGCATTTATTTGGTATAAAGGAGCAGATGAGTAAAATTTTGCAATATTTATTATATTTTGTAATTGGTTTAGCAAATCGTAATAAATCAAATTTAGTGGGAGTTTTTAAATTTTTTTGAATGACTTAAATATGGCGAAATCGTATTCCAAAACCTGGATACTTACTTAAATATATGCTCTTCCTTCTTTTTATCTATCTATCTTTCATTATTTCTTTCTTTCTTTCTTTCTTTCTTTCTTTCTTTCTTTCTTTCTTTCTTTCTTTCTTTCTTTCTTTCTTTCTTTCTTTCTTTCTTTCTTTCTTTCTTTCTTTCTTTCTTTCTTTCGTTCGTTCGTTCGTTCGTTCGTTCGTTCGTTCGTTTCGTTCGTTCGTTCGTTTTTCGTTTGTTCGTTCGTTCGTTCGTTCGTTTTTTCGTTATTCGTTCGTTCGTTCGTTTTTTCGTTTGTTCTTTTGTTTGTTTGTTCTTTCTTTATGCTAAAAAACCCTGATCAGCAAAGCACCTTCATGAATAAATTTGCTAAGCTCCAGCGATATATTTATTTGTGTATAAAAACCCTCTATGACCACAGGCATATGCCAAACATTAATGTAATTTTGTACTATGACTACCAGAGTTGTTAAGTAGATACTCACCAAATGTATCCAGATACAGATAGCATTTTTAAAAATGATTTTAAGATAGGATCTTAAGATTTCATCTAGGCTATATAAAAATTGTGATCTATTGTTAAATACCACATCATTTTTAAGTTAGCCATTTATCTTTGATATATATATATTTAGAATGTATCATTAAATTATAATAAAATATTATTTTTAGCATTTAATTAAAACATTCTTAAAGTTTTTAACTGCTGAGATATATATCCCCACTTTAATTTAAGTATAATTAGCCTTGTGTGTTTTTAAATTTAAGAATAAAACATGTATTACATTAGAGATAAGCGATTGCAAACACATTATGTATCTTGATACTTTAACACATCTGATATCTTACTAGTCCACAAGGGCCTTGACTCGAAAAAGTGAAATACTTTTGTTTGATTCCAAATATAAACTGTTTTTTCATTTAGATTGGGATACGGACTAACATCACCGATTTCCTTGAGAGATTCAGAAACGATCAAATATTTCGAAATATATTCAAATGCGGACAGTATGTACCGGGATTCTTGGAAAATTTATTTGGGGAATGGCTTGTAAAAATGTATTTCGATAGTTATGGCGAAGATTGTAGGGAAAGTGGAATACCGGACTACCCTGATGATTTCAGTAGATTAAAAGTATATTTAATAATAGTACTACACTATCAATATTTACTATAAACTGTTTTAGAATATCTACATATGGATACCATGTTGAATTAGAATCTAACAATTTTATATCATTTATTGAGAGCAATTTTTCAAATTTGAAAGATCCTATATAACTGGAAATGTAATACAGAATGTATAAAATATACTCCTAATGTAATTAGCAGAGTTGTTAAAGGATCTAGTTAGAAGTATCTAGATCCTGTATCTAGATATAAAAATGTGGTATCTGTATCTAGATAGATTTTTGATCAAAATATCTGTATCTAGATATTATTTTAGACTATGTATCTGTATCTAGATCCATTTAAAATGTATCTTTTAACAAGGTAATTAGACACTTTTGTGGTGAACTATTATAATTAATTTTTAATTATTTTTTATTTCCCATTACAAATGAAAGATTATATTCCAAATTTATATGGCAAAATGTCTGGGAAATTTATTACACATGCTTGAAATAGGTTTCAGGTTGAATTCTAAAAAATTTTAAATCTCTCGGTAAATGATTTAAAGTTGGGAGACCTTTAATTCCTAGTAGATTCCATATCCCAAAACAAAAATATATTTTATATAATAGAATAGCCTTCCATTTAATATATATTTCTTATTCCTTAGATGCAGAAACAGAGGAAGAACATCTTCAGAAGATTTGTGGAAAAATAGCTAGAAATATAGATATGCTTTACACACATCACAAAACAACATTTTTTTTTTATTATTTATGCTTTAAAATTATTGTTTCTAATAATGAGTTTTTAATGTATATGTTTATTGATTTATAAAAATTTTTTTGATGAAAGATTTGAATTTTTTAATGATAATAAATAAGATTTACATAAAAACCATTGTCGCCTTAGATTTTATATTATTGTGTTAAAAAATTAGAAATCTTTTCTGATATGAGCTCAATTCAAAAATCTCCATCGAAACAGAAATATAGAGCAAGATCAACTTGAAGAGATGGGAAGTGGGAGATCTATGAGTTATAAACTTCATTTTAATAAAAACTGATGGGGATAATGGGAGTAGTTTGCTTTGGATTTTTCTTTTATGATTTGGGGGATCAGTAGGTAGGTAAAATTTTAGGCTAGATTATTGGGTACAATAATGAAAATTAGAAGTCCTTGACTTAACTCAGGAAGCGTTCATCTGAAGGAAAATATAATTAAATGTAATATAATTTGAATAAAATTTGACAAATCCTAATTAAGTTTTGGGGATTAAGTTTTATAAATTAATTTTCTCTTACCTAGGAGAAATACCTATAATGATTAAAAAAATATATATTTCTGTCCTAACATATCCATTTTATTTTTAATTTGAAAATTGTAATCATAGATATTTTTTGTTTTGCTTCTTAGGATTCCTTTACGCTTAATAATGCTTATTTTAAACTTTTACAGTTTTCAATAGTGATTATTTTATCTAAAAGCAATTCCATCAATAATATTTTCATTTTTCAAAGAATAGCATTCCAAGTTTACCTTTCATCTTAATTACCAGAAATCTTAATTAAAAAAAAAATTCGCTGTTAATCTTTGCTCACTCTTAATCATAGATTCAGATATAAATAAATTAACATTTAAAAAAAAATAGGATTTATTTGGAATGTAACTCAAAGTTAGATTTAAATGATTGAATTAATATTATGAGGACTCATTTAGATCATCAAAAAAAAAATTTCAAAATGTTTAGAAGTACGAATTATGCAGCTACTGATACGATACCACGAGATCCGTCAATCAAAGATAGATTTCAATATGATGGTTATTGTTTTATCATTGACAAAACACATGTTATACTGAGAGTTTTCTTGTATTCAAATTTTGGCTCTCCCTGATAGAAATTACACTTGGTACATAATATACGGGTAGTAAGAAAAGTCAAAGAAAAATAAGTATCCATCAACGTTCGTCCTTATTGTTATTGTTACGGAATTTAGCTATTTTTGGAATAAAGGCCAAATCATCCTTTAAGCTTACATCTCGGTGGAGTCCGAAATCCAAATTATATCATAAAGACTAACTTTCCCGCATATTTAATTATAGATATTATTAGTATGTTCAAAAAAATCTATGCAAAAAAAGGTTCTTCCTAATTGCTAATCTTGTACAACTAACCTGAGATTTAGGTACAATGCGGTACATTTTATTATTTTGATTTTTATTAGTATTATTTTGTTAAATTTTATCTAAATTACTTTTTGGAATAAATTCTTAAAGTTAAGTTTCGATGCTATATTAATTAGAATTTAAGTTAATCGGCAAAAATTTCTAACGTATTTATTTATAAATTATAATTTAAAAAAAAAACAATTTCCGAAAATGTGTTACTCAATGGGAAATCTGTGAACGAAAAGCAGTGGTAAAATATCACAAACAAAAAAATAAGTTCTTCATTCAACCAGATTGAATATATATTGACTAAATTTTTCGGATTATCTCAGAAACAATTTTTTAATTCTTATCATAGGTGAGTCTAAGTATCGATATATCTCGGAGTGCGATCCTTTACAAAGATTATTTTTTTAACCTGATTTTAAGCTAATTTCAATCTAACCAGAAAGCCTATTTATAGGCAACAAACGAATAATGTAAAGAGTAGCTAAAGCTAAACGGTATTTAAATGTAAGTGTTTAAATCTCATTAGATTATATATATATAAATATTTTAATATATAATTTTTAAAATAAAAAGCTGCCAGCCAACTATAATTAATTATTAGATTTTCATATAATGATATGAGATTTGTGATGATTTAACAATTAGATTGTTTTAATTATTATAATTGCTTAAACGTTTAAACGATTTATATTTTATTTTATTTTTTTAAAATAATGATTTTCAAAGTTTTTGTAGCTATATTATTCTCGTTACGTTCAATTCAAGCTCAAAAGTAAATTTGAATTATATTTTAATATTTTATAATACTATACTAATTATTTGTTTAAAAAATTCTGCAAGAAAAAATTATTTGTTCAAATGTACTCTATTAAAATTATACAATATTTTGGTGTAGTTTTAATAAAACAGAATTCAATTTCATTCATTGTGTGTGTATACTCTCTTCTTCGTTATTTTTCTATAGATTAGCAACTAACAAATATTCTGGGTATCCTGTATGCAACGCAGATGCAGATGAGTGTCTAATAGATTATGTATGCCGTTATGGTAGCAATATGGTGAAAAAACACTGCTGTGCATTTTGTGAGAGGGTTATTATTTAAAATAATTAATCGATTATTTTTTTTTAAAAATAAATTTTGATTATAAAGGCATACATATAAGGTATTCCCACATATATAGTTATAGTGGTACGATAGTAGTGTTGTTGAACGGCCCGTTTTGAGCCGATTTTTAAAAACGGCTAACTCAGTATTATATCCAGAAAAATATTACGTAAGCCTGAAAATTTTGTTCTTAGAAGGAGCAAAGATCTAGAAATATAGTATCGAAATTTTGAGGCTTAGTCAATATTTTTCTGGCGAAAATATTGAGTTAGCCGTTATTAAAAATCGGCTCAAAACGAGCCGTTTAACAACATTATCCGATAGTTACGAATTGAATAATTTTCGGATAGTAATTATGAATATCAATTTGGATTATTCGAATAGATTTTTCGTAATTCGTTCATATAGGAATAACCTCAGTTCACTTACGCGAAAAATAAATTTTAAATTAAAAAATTAAAAAATATAATTTAAATATTTAAATAATATATCGCAATATTTTTTATTTGTATATCTTATAAATTTTTTACAGAAATTAATATTACTATATAAAAGTTAAATATTAGGTTAATATTACCCCTGTTATCATATAAATAAATAGGGTACACGTCATTTAACTATTTAAGCATTTAAATTTGCTTTGAAAGATATCGGATAACAAACCATGACTACAAAATAAATGTCTAACTTTGTTGAAAAATATAAATCTTTTAAGAATTTATAATTTGATATATAAATTTTAAATTATATATAAAAAATTAATGTTGTTGATTCAGGCGCTTAGTCAGCTGGTAGGGAGGAAGGGGAGGGGTCATGGAATGAAATCCCTTATCCCAACACAAGAAACTTTTGAAAAAAAAATACAAAAAGGCTTTATGAATTTGCTAATTGTAGAATATTCGATTTCAAATAAGTTATATTATGTTCTAAATATTAGTAAAAAAAATTAAAATTAATTAAAATATTTATTTTTTGTGTATTAAAATTTTACCTCTCTAAAAATTTTAAGTTTATTTTCTTTCATTTTTATAAACCTTAGAACATTGATGGATATAAGAAAATGTTATCAACCAAAAATAGTTTTATTTAATTTGTCTTTTTACTAATAATAACTGTGATTATAAAATTTTTAGAATGTATGAAATGTTCAAGTATCCCAAATAAACGGAATTTACAGAAATATTTAATATTATATTCGAATTCCCTCAAAGTTTTAGGGTTTAGAATTAGGAAAGAGCAGTTTTTCTAAGTGTGGAGAATCAAAAATTTTACTTATATTCAGATCCGCTTCTGTTTAATTTTTCGAGGTTTTTAACTGGGATTTCTTACAATTACCTTTGAAAATGGGATAATAGAGATTTATATTCCATGAAACCTTATATAAACATTTTCTTCATCTTTAGCATCACGTTTTGTGAACAACGCAATGAGAGTTATAGTGCGGCACAAATTGAGCGTTTCAAACGCCGCGTTGCAAACGCAACATTTTAAATAAGTTCTTAAAATAAAGGATTTGTCTTTTGAAAATTATATTATCGTCTGCCTTCTTATTTCTTTAATTTCTAAATATTCCTTTTTAGGATAAAAGTAAGTTATTTATATTTATATTACATTTGTATATAATATTACACAGCGAATAATAATAAAAAGTATGAAAAAGCAAACCTATTTGCGTTTTTTAAAATGGTTGCTAACGCCGAACTGTAATTTTACCAATTTGCACGAGGTCATTTGAAATGCATTATTTGCGCTTGAAACGCAGCGTTTGAAACGCTCAATTTGTGCGCACTATTAGTGTGAGAGAGTTACATGACTAGAAACAGGATTATATTTTTGCAAGTTGCGTTTTAACAAAAAATTAAATACCCCCTAATGAAAATTTACGTATAAGAATTGTTTTATTTATTATGTAGCAATGACATATAATATATACCTAGACTGACGATGCATTCGCAATGATGCATTCGAAAGCGTCGTTGAATGCAAACCAGCTGGACCAGCCATTTTGGTAAAACCTAAATAGTAATTATTGTTAAAAACTATTATTAAATTGATAACTTGCATCCTTGTTATCTCGACGTTCAGGCAATTCTTTGATAAAGTTTACGTCAGACATAGGAATAAATTGGCCTCTCGTTTTAAAATTTTAAATAATGATACGGGTAATCAAAATGGCGACCCCAGCTGTTTTCATTGATGTACACTTTTAACGAACGCATCCTCAGTCTTGGTATTATTATATGTCATTGTAATGTAGATAAAATTCCAAAAAAAAAAGAAAATTAATCATGGGTGACATAAAAAAAAAGATGGAACTAAGTGAGAAATTATCGTGAATTTAGGATGAATAAGTCATTCGTCGATGAAATACTCGCCGATAAAAAACAATAAAATTATTTTTATTATAGAGGAGTGCTCATTAGGTTTATATTAAAACTAATTTGACCAAAAATCATTAAATAAAGGTGTGCATGAAATTGTAAAATGATGGAAAGGGTATAATATAACATATACTAAATTACACATTGAAATATCAAGATTTCCAATTGCAGTGATAAATATATTTTTTTCACTGACTCATGCTATAAGCACGCATCTCAGTATACATAGTTACAATCATGAATTATTTTACCCTACATAACTATATCTATACGATCATCTTATTTAAATATAACCCTAAAACGTATAAAATGATTACGAGAGAATGAGATTAGTGTGATTTTATTGTGAAATTTTACAATTTCTATTAGTTTAACAAAATTGTAATAAATCAAATTTAGTGCGACTTTTTAAATTTTTTATAAGACTTAATCATAGCGGAATCATATTCCAAAACCTGGATAATTACTCTTATATATATATTAGAGGTTGGTGCGGGCCGTGAAATTACGCGTGACCCATCGTGTCACGGTGGGTCAAGGCGTGAATGTGAATAAATTTTAAATTATTAGGCGCGACTTGGCGTGGTGGGCCTTCCCAAAATTTTTCCTAGCGCGATCGGGCGTGAACATGAATTTCCCGTAAATCACGGAAATTTTAATTTTTTTTTAATAAATATAAGTTTGCAATTTTATAATTATAATAATAGATATTTTCTAATTTAATTTAGTTCTATTTTTAAAAAAGAAAATTTTTTTGAAAACAAAAAATATTCAGGCATTTTAATAAGCAACATCTGGTGTCACCCTCCTAGTTCTATTTTCTTTTTATGTTTAGGTGTTTTGTCGTGAGATTTTTTACTTAAACTTTAACATTTATTCTCGAGCACTTAAGGTAGGCTTAATTCTAGATCCTAATTTCAAAAACCTTAAGTTTTAAATAGACGAAGAAAAGGAAGATATTTACAAAACAATCTTAAAAATGTGAAATGATATAAAATTAGATGATATGGATAAGTCAATGCCAACTGTCATTTATAACTTTCCTAATTCATCCTACATTCACAAAAAACCATATATTCTAAATGAAACATATTTTTAGATGATTCTGATGAAGCATCAACATCTACCGATGAAAGCTGTGTGAATTTAAAAGATTCATCCCATAAAACAAATAACAATGGTAATATTTTGAAGTTTTGGAAGCAGGAAAATTTATTTCCTTTTTTGAGAAAATTGGAGTAAAATTTTGTCAGCCCTGGCAAATTTAGCTTCTTGAAAGGTTAATTTTCTGTAGCCAATCGCCTATTAGAGGAAAGGCGTACACAATTGAAATAAAAAAAAAAATAGACATTCTTCTTTTTCTAAGTAAAAATTTGGATTAACAATTATGTATTTATTTTTTGTTATTATGAATTATGGAATTAAAAGAAATAAATAGAATAAATTCAAAAAAGTGTAAAAAATTGTAGCATTAAATTTTTGAAAAATTTAAAAACACCGTGAATTTTCGGGCGTGACGGGCGTCAATCAAAATATTGCCTTTCGTGAGCGGGCGGGTCGGGTCGAAAATTTTTTAGTGGTAAGCGTGAATGGGCGTGAATATTTTTTATTGACCGTGAGAGAGCGGGCCGTGAATAAAAAATTAGGCCCGCGCAGGCCCGTGCCCGCCTCTAATTTATATGCTGTTCCTTGTTTTGTTTATTTCTTTCTTTCTTTCTCTCTTTCTTTCTTTCTTTCTTTCTTTCTTTCTTTCTTTCTTTCTTTCTTTCTTTCTTTCTTTCTTTCTTTCTTTCTTTCTTTCTTTCTTTCTTTCTTTCTTTCTTTCTTTCTTTCTTTCTTTCTTTCTTTCTTTCTTTCTATTCTTTATGCTAAAATTAACCCAGATCCACCACTAAATTAGCTAAGCTCCAGCGATATATATTTTATGACCACGCTTATGCCCCAATACTACTACCAGAATTATTAAGAAAATACTCACCAAATATATCCAGATACAGATCATTTTTTATAATGCCTTTAAGATAGGATCTTAGGATTTCATCTGGGCTATCTAAAATTGGGATCTATCGTTAAATACCATTTTAATTAATCTTGTTTGTTATTAAATTTATCGGATAGAGAACTGAATTTGGCAATATTATTGTATAAATTAAGTATAAAAAGCAAGAAAAAATTGAAAAATTATTATCAATTTTTTATAAGACGTAAAATATCAAGTATATGTAATAAATTCCTTTAATAATAATAAGTTTGATAAGATATGTAAACACATTATGTATCTTAATACTTTAACAACTCTGATCCGCTATTAGTTCACAAGGGACTTGACATGAAAGTAAAATACTTTTGTTTAACCCAAATATAAATACCTTAGATTGGGATACGGACTAACCTCACTGATTTCCTTTCGAGATTCAGAAACGATAAAAAATTTCGAAATATATTCAAATGCGGAAACTATGTACCAGGATTCTTAGAATATTTATTTGGGGAAATGTATATAAAAATATATTTCGATTTATATGGTGATAAATGCTTTGTTAGGGATAATGATATAACGGAATACCGTGATTATTTCAGTAGTTATAACAAAAAGGTATATTT